AGCGTATTTTTCGATGACATCGTAGTTGATGGTGCGTTTGGCATCGCCGTTGAATGGGGTGAACACTGCAGAATAAATTGAAAATAAAATTAGATTTTTGAAAAATAACTTTAAAATTTCACCACAAAACTTCTGATACAGAACCAAAATTTAATAAAAATTACTTTAAAACTTCAAAGAGCCTGTACTAACCTGGCACCATCAATCCCTTGAATGTGAAGTCGGTTTTCATTTTGATTGTTTTTGAATTTGATTTTTCAGAAGAAAAAAGTTAAATTGATCGATGTGAATTACTTCGAATGAACTGTGAATTCGATCTGATGACAGTGAGTGTTGAGGGCAGTATTTATACCATTATTTTCATTATCATATAAATTAAAACAAAAATGTCGACCTCATGCTTTTTGATTGCAGTAAATGCAAATTAATTTTCGGAGATAATTTGTTGGTACTCAAGATTTCGATAACACCGAGTCAAATTGCAAAAATAAGCAAATGCCACGAACATAGAGATAATAATTTTTTTTAAATCATTAGAAAAATAGTAAATTAATTTAATAAAATTAGAAGAGACAGCTTAAGAAAATGATTGAATTAATTAAAATAACTTTAATTAACCAAATTGATTATGTTTATATTTGTATATTAAATGTGACCTCCAACTGTGACACAATCATTTGTTTTTGTTTTTCACTTTTGATTAATGTGTATTATTTACCACACTCAGTATACAATGGAATAATTTGTATTCGAACGCCAAATGCTTATCTGAATATTATGCAAAAGCGATTCTATTTTTAAAGAAGAAAAAATACTCGCGTAGCAATTGTTCTATACCAAAAATGCGTTTTTCATGATATTTCAATATCAAGGAAGTTATCAAATGAATTAAACTTTAATAACTGAATTGTTTCTCCCTCCATCAGTTTCAAAAAAACTCACACCTCACTTTGAAAAGAATAAATTATCAACTAACGTCTCGCTCGTGTATTTTTCCGTTACTTTTGAACTAAGACTTGGTGCCATTGTTTGAAATGATTTGAAGTGCTTTTATTCATGTCTGCGAGATGTTTTTACTTTCAATTCACTTAACACAACAACATCATTGTTCAGCATATGTTTATCGTCCGAGCGAAGATATGCGTTAAATAAGCGCTATTTTCACATTCACTTAAAAATATCTGTAGATATCTATCGACTTATCTATCTATTTCCAATGTATGGAAATCCCAAAGATTTCGTAGAATATAAAACGATAATTTCATTTTTTTGTATATTATTGTTGTAATTACAAATCTCAAATCTCGTCCTAATGCATTCAACCCACGTTTAAGTTAAAACGCGGAAAGTATGCATCAGTTAATATTTAAAATTTGTTTTTTTTTTCGAAGTGATATGACTTTTTTTAAATTCCGACGGAGAGAGGAAAAAAAGTTTTGACAACCCATCAAAAAAACTAAATAAAAAAGTAGTGACCATTTGTATTCCATTCAAACGTTTAAACGTTCACCTCATTCATCAGCATGAAATTATTTAAAGTTTTTAGAAAAATCGAAATAAATTGGCAACGAGAGTTTCAAACCTTACAAAAAAAACTCATTTTATTCGCAATCGATAAATATTCAAAATTATCTAGCTTTTAGTCATTTGTGAACTTTGTTTAACTCAATGCATGCATTTTTTGAACATCTGTTGTAAACAAAATTCTCAAACACATCTGGTGCTCGAAATCTATGAAGAGAATTTTCAAGGGCTTTAAGTTCAGACACAAAAAAACCAATCTATTTTGTTATTAAAGCAAAAAACATTGTGCTATCACTCAATTTGATACAAAGCATTCTTCCTCGGCGCGTTTTTGGTTTCTCCTTCAATTGCTACTAAGAACTGATAGCACATTTCGAAAATTCTTATCAATCTTTTTTTGTTGTTTTCAAAATACATTCCAGCCGTTTCTTTTTTCATTTGATTTGCGCCTGAGTCCATTTTTTTAGTCAATATTTTCAATACAATGTCGGGTCAATAATTGATTTGTTTACATAATTTACTGATGAGCTCAACGTCATTTATATATGCAACTTTGTTATTGTCCTGATACAAAAAAATCTTTTGCATACTGAAAAAATGTAAACAAGACTGTTTTTTGTACTCATGCATACGTTAGGGCGATTTGTACTTTTTTTTTTAAATACTTAAGGTGAATATCAATGAACAAAGAGTGAGGTTAGATTGACTTGAATCAGCTGTTCTGACAACCGCATTCAAAAATGGTTTCGATTATTGACAATTTATATTAGTTTAACCCGATTTTTTTCCTAAAAGTTGAATGAAATCGTAATAATATGTTCGAGAATATATTTAGACAAGTAGGTAGTATAATCCATAGCACATTTATTCCAGTTGTATATGCGCAACAAAGCGAGCCGAAAAGTGTGGACGATGAAAATGTTTGGGATCGTTTAAAAGTAATCACAGAAGCAAAGTAAGTAAAAGTGTTTGTATGTTTTCCAAACTAACTAAACGAAAAAAAAATTTCTCAACTTTTAGTAAATATGGTGCACTTTCGCACGAGGTGACTAGTGTTATAAACTATATTCAGAATGGAGTCCTCTTCGGTAGTTTTGTTGGCATTTCAATATTTACGAAGAATCAATACGTAGATTTTGTGCATAATGAAAGAGCAAGTCAGTATAAATGGCATTTGGACGCCAAACGTGAATTAACCAATCGATGGTGTAAAGGTGCCGTGAGTGGCGCCGCCACATGGGGCATTAAGTGTACAATCGTTGCCGCAACTTTTGGGTAAATTTGTTTAATTCGATTAAAATTAGTGTTTTTAATTTGATCTTGATTGTTAATTTCTATTTCTTCTCTTTTTCTTGTTCTCAGAATACTGGTCAATCTCATACCAATTATACGAAATGAGAACAGTTGGCCCGAGTTTATTGTGTCTGGATTAGTAACTGGAACACTGGCCGGTCAGTTATTTAGTAATCCAGACGAATTGGGATTTCAGTCTAAAAAGTACAATGGGCGATTTTCATACAGAACATCATGTCTTATGAAAGGAGCTGGTTATGGATTATTGGCTGGAGTTTATAGCGGATTATATTCTTTGCAAAAATCAAATCGTCTGAATGCTGCTGAATTGAAGAAATGGGAGAAATACTGGAAAAAACGGCTACAGGTAGCTACCCCCTAAAATTCATTCATTTTACCTTCAACTTTTTTTTTGTGATTTCAGAGAGGAGAAACCGGTACCAAAACTGACTGATACAATTGTTTATATAAAAAGACGAATTAGATTACTTTATCACATATTAGGTTGAAATTGTGAACACCTTTTTAAAATTGAAATAAAAAATCAAATTTATAATTAAACAGAAGAAATGTTTGCGTCAAACGCACAAAAAACGCCTGAAAATATGATTTTTTTTGTTTATATTTCAATCAGCTGATGTTTTCATAGGTTATGGTTCACATAAACTTGTTTAATAGGTGATAATATTTTTTAGTCATTGTCATTCGAAGAAAAAATAGAGGGGCAATATTTTGGAATGCTCGATGAATTTTGACATTGCATTTAATAAGTGCAATTTATTTTATCAAAAAAAAAAAAAAAATATCAAAAATTGTTGTAATTGTGGTGAGTTCATTGTTCGGATATAAGTTACAAAAGCACTTGAGAACTTTTATCAGTGTATATAAGAAAGGAGTCAATCAATAAACAAAGTCACTATCAGCTATCATTTCCAAGTTGTCATTTTATACAAAAACCTCGATCGGTTCAATAACAGCAGAAAGAAAGATGAAAGCTGTGAAATTCAACTATTCTGGTTTGATGTGCCCGGTTTTTACTGCGTTTGCCAATGACAGGTAATTCATTCACATTTCGTCTTTTTCCTTGTCTAAAACAACTATTCACTTACTAGTAAACGTACGATTCGATACGATGTGATTGATAAATATGCGAGTTGGTTGAAACAACGTGGAATTAATGGAGTGCTTGTGAATGGTACAACTGGTGAAGGTGTTTGTCTACGTATCGAAGAGCGTAAACAAAACTTTGAACATTGGTTAAATTCTTGTCGCAAGCACGATCTAAAATGTATGGTTCATATTGGTGGTACTTCTGTATCTGCGGTCCATGACCTGGCCGAGCATGCTGAAGAAAGTGGTGCTGATGCTGTTCTTTGTTTGCCGGAGCTTTTCTTCAAACCAACTTGTGAAGAGGATTTGGTTGACTACTTACAAAATGTCGCCGAACATTGTCCAACTCGACCTTTGTTCTACTACCACTTTCCAGCCTTTACCAAAGTCAATTGTATGTGTCGAATTCCCTTTTGCATTTTAAAATTGATTTAATTTGTTACTTGGTTTTATATATTTCAGTGCAAATGCCACGGTTGTGCGATTTGGCTGAGAAACATATTCCAACATTCAATGGAATTAAGTTCACGAGCAATGATTTGAATGAAGGTGTTGCCTGCTTGAAGCCTGGTCGAAAGGTGTTCTTGGGATCGAATACAATTTTTCTTGCTGCACTAACTCAAGGTTTTGATTCTGGTATTTTGCTATCGTTGAATGTCTTTCCGGAGATGGCACAAGAAATCTTGGCAGCTGTTCAGGAAAAGCGATGGGAAGATGCACGAGCTACACAATTAAAACTTACAAAACGGTTTAATGAATGCGGCACCGCATTGAAAAATGAATTTAATCACATTAATAGCGATTTTTCGTGTGGACCGGCAAGAAAACCTTCACTTAATTTAAATAAAAAATAATTTACAGTTCTATTGATTTTAATCGGGAAGGCAATGACATCATTGAAAATGATATCTTTGCATGACCGATTGGCTTTATACATATGAGTACATTTTCTGAAGAGAGTGTCAATAAATGATATTTTACACTGAATATTGATAAGAAGGCTTTGTTTACTATTTATATCTGCAAACATCGGCAAATATTATTTTAGATGCAGAAGAAAAATAAGGCGAACAAATATTTCACATAGTTGACTACGTATCGAATTTATTTCATTATTAATTTGCATATTTACTTAAAAAAGTAAAAAAAAAAAAAACAAATATTGAATGAAAATCATCTTTTGCACATGTATGTCATACACAGTATTATATTCTCGAATAATGTGACAATAATTTCGACTAATTTAGTAGCAATAAATCCATTGAATCGTCCAGAATTGAATTTATATCGAGAAGCCATGATAAAAGCGAGGGAAATTTTTTTTTGGTTTCTCATTGGTTTTATAGTGGGATACTTAACCACAATAACTGATGATTCAAATTCGATTAAAATAGCTCGAAATTCCAAACCAACCGCATCATTGTATAAAACCGTCGAAGATGTGAAAAAAATTCGAATTTTGTGTTTTTTAAATACACGTCCG